TATATATGATTTGCACGTATCTCGAGATCAAAAGATGGAATGACGAAAGTCCCCTCAAACGAAAAGATACAAAGCCTCATGAATTCAACCAACTGAAGATCACCAGCTAACAGATAGCCAACGAATTAATAGTCAGCCGACTGAAGGATTAACGACCGACCGAAGGCCAACCAACCAAAGGGCCACTCAAGTTAATCAGATGGTGGGAACACGAATCTCGATGTAAAGGGATGAAACAAGACAAATGGTGTAGGCCCCCTAGCCAAGATGAGTCAAAACTAGTCAAAGGAACTAGATCGGGCCATCCAATAGTACCCAGGTTAGGAGGCGATCCAGGACCCTATTGCCTAGTTAGATGGAGAACAGATCTATGCCAAAGCCGAAACAAAAATACTTGCAAGGTTAGCCGAATAAAAAAATTTGTTGTGGCCAAATGACCGAGGGAAGCGAGCCACTGTTTTGAAGAAATACAAAAGAAAAACGGTCAGAAAGCCTTCATGTTACCCTCTCATGTTCGGCCCAGCAAGGACAAAGGAACAAGGGTGACCCAACAAACCAAGATTTGTCACCACAAATAGATATTTATTATATCAAATAATTTACTTTGGTACCCCAAAATCCTTTGCATGGAGGGGGCCCAAAAGTAATTGCTCTCATACCTTTAAATAGCGGAGGTAATATAAAAAAAAATAGGGGACGGTTTTCTACTCTTCATTCTCCACCATATTGCCTCGGCTCAATCCGTTGGGCAGGATCCTGGACATTTTCGGGTTCAATAGAAGCATTAGTGTGATTACTAACTTGTGGTTATTTCATGTAGATAGAGCCAACCAAGTTCTCTTTCAAGTTCAAGTAGGAAAAAGAACCTAATTAAAACCCAAAATGTAGCTTATTTGTGACTTTAAATGATCTCTAATATGATTGTTCCTTTGTTATTAGGCACTTCCATAACTCCAGTGATTCAAATGATATTCATCGCTATGCTCATGCAGTGCATTTTTTGTGGTTGAACATTTGCCGATCATGCTAATGCACTCATGATAGTAATTTCTTAACCCCTCAGTTAGCTAATATATACATATATACATGCATATACACATAATATTACACATATTTGATAGCAGATGAAAATAATATCTTATTTACCTGAAGTCATTTAGAACGGATACGTGATGTCATCATATTTTTCACAAATTCGGTATGTAGTCGAAATTTATATTTTATGAGGTTTTTAATTAAATTTAAAATACTTGAAATATAAATTTATTTTATGTAATCATATCATGTATTGAATTATCTCAAAACCATACAAATAAAATTTTCCAGTTCGATTTGAATGCAGAGAAACATTTAGTCAACTCTACTTGAACGCAATCATTGAGGACTTTTGTGTCATTTCAATGCGTCATCTTCCTAGTTTTCTTTTCGTAAAATAAAACTCCACAACCCCACTTAGCCCCGTTTAGAGCAGATTATTTGCTGCGGGGGCATTTTCAAAACGCTACCCTGCATTTGATAAAAATATTTCCGTTGTGTTTTGGAAAAAAGTTTTTTGGCATTAATATTACAAGCGGATCGCAGGGTCCTACCCGTGATCTGTGTTTGATCCCTGAGAAAGACGCTCGGGCCCCTGCCTTTCGCTCAAGGAGTCTTGCTGAAAGCCCTAATTTCCCTCGTCGTCTGTTTCGCCGAAAGCAGGTATCCCGTCGCTCCTCTCGCCTCGTCCTCCCTGAAGGTATCAATCGTACGTCCTCCGAATCTCTTTCCTTTTATTTTTCAATGTCTATGGAGAATGGTAGACGAACACCACACATTTCTTCATCTTTAGCGGTTATTTCCTTCTTCATATATTTATTTCAAGTCATTCTGAGAATCTTTGCAAATGGATCTGGTTTCCTTGTTCTTCGTATGCGCAGTAGCCCAACAGATTGGGAAAAAAAAAATTTTTGTATGAGATGGATATATCTGATGTATGTGGTTATGGATCTTATGTTATTTATGGTAGAAAAATTGTTATCATCAATAATAATGAGAGAAAAATGACATACTTTCTTTTACAGTTTAATGGTAGAAAAAATGAAAGTGGTAGAAATGAGATTTTGATTTAGGATTGTTATTACAGTTTCTATGATAGAAATGAGATATAAATATTTTGTATTTTCACATATGTTTTTCAATCTTCTCATTTTCCTTTTTATGATTTCATTGAGAGTGTTAGTAATTTTGTAAAAAAAAAAATTCAAATAAACTGTGTCCAAAAAGCATAAAATAAACAACTACAACTTATTCAGAACAAGGGCAGTTTGGTCATTTTTTTCAGAATCAGTTGTTCTCAATAAGCACAAACCAAACATGCAGATAGATTATCCGGATCAGCTGCTTATCAACAGATTATCAGGATAAGCTGGATAAGCTACAGCTGTCCTAAACCGACCCTTAGTTACTTAGTGAAGCGAAAACATTGGTAATGTTCAGATTCATTTTGTTTAAATTTATAAATGTTTAAAATAGAAACGGAAAGGTAGATAAATAAATAGATGAATATTTTTTATTTTTTTTCTTTAAATAAAAGCAAAGTACTCTTTCAAAAGTATAATAATTGTAATTTGATAACCTCCCTAACGTGCGGTGGGCCATGGCTTCTTTTCTTTTAGAACCAAATAAAAGGAGTCATGGTCAGTGGAAATTTTCTTGATTGGCTTGACCATCCTTACAGATTTCGATGGAGGGTATAGAAGAAATTATATGTGGAAACCAAGGGTGGCTTTGTCATTTCGCGCGCAAGTGGCCAGCACATCAACACGTGTGGGGTGTGGTTACGCGCTGATACTACGTCCATCTACCGGCTATGGGCAATTATCCCCACCGGCTATAGGCGGTCACCTCCTGCCAGACCACATGGATGTGGAAACCTTAAGTTTATTTTCTTATTTTACATCGTTTTTTATTCCTTTTTTTTCGAGAAAAGTGGAAGAGCGAAAACTCAGAAGCAGATCTGAAGCCGGGCTGTGGTCCCACTTCTAATGTGAGGTCTGAGACTGTCATTTCTCATTCTCTCTCTCTGCATTGATAATAGTTTTCAAAAAACCAGTTTTATAGTTAGGGGTATGTTATGCCCATGGAGGTTTGGGCTTCTCTGTTAATTTAAAAAAAGAAAAAAAAATTTAATCTTTGGTCAGTCAGGTGGGCGTTTAAGACTAGAGTCTCCCAGATTTGATCCGTGATTTCTTCTGGATCACGGGGCTGTTCTTGATCTCTCTTTTCTACCACCAGTATAATCTTTAGTCCTGCACTTTTCCTCCTTTTCTTTTTCTTGCTGTTCTGCGATTCAGAGCGGGCTTTGCTCGCTGATCATTTCGCCTTTAGACGACACCTGCCTGGGGCTATTGGGGAGAGAAGGGCTTAAGATTTGAGAGAGCCTTGGAGAACAGTGTTGGAGAAGAAGATCAAAAGGAATGGGAGTTTGGATTTCTGGGCGTGGGAGATTATAACTCTATGATGCACGTTATGATGACGATAGCCTTCCTCTTCTTTCACTCCTCCCTTTTGACTGCATCTGGTACTCCCACCTCACACCACACGAAGAAGCCAAAAGCACAAGAAAAGGAAACCGCTTCTCACCCTCTTCCTTCCGCTTTTCACTTCTAGCTTTCTTAATCTCCTCCTCCTTCCACTCTTCTTCCTAAACTTGCACGAAGGCCACATTTTGCATTACAAATTTCTTCCGAGAACAATGCCGCAGTTCCAACAACATCCTTCCTGGAGCGTGGATGGCGGCGGGCTGGTTCTAGATCTGGAAACAGCTGTCAAAGATGGCATCTTGGGAGGTGCCGCCGGCGGTGGTGGAGCGCTCTCTGGCGAGAAGCTGGATCTGAAGAAGATGATAGAGGAACTCGAACCAGCCGGCGCCGATGACATTCCGTCTGTCTTCATCTGCCCTATTTCTCTCGATCCAATGCTCGATCCGGTGACGCTCTGCACAGGACAAACGTACGAGCGCTCCAACATCCAAAGATGGCTTTCAATGGGTCACCGGACTTGCCCCACCACTATGCAGGAGCTTTGGGAAGACGCCGTCACCCCAAACCGAACTCTTCACCATCTCATCCACACTTGGTTCTCCCAGCGCTATCTCCGTATGAAGAAGCGTTCCGAGGACGTCGGAGGCCAAGCGGCGGAGCTTCTGGTCTCTCTACGCCGGGTCAAAGGCCAAGCTCGCATTCAAACTCTTAAAGAACTCGGAAAGCTCGTAGCTTTACACTCTACTGCAGCTAGAAAAGCCGTCGCGGACGCCGGCGGCGTTACTCTGCTATCTTCTCTCCTCGGCCCCTTCACCTCCCATGCCGTCGGATCCGAGGTCATCACCATTCTCGTGAACCTCCAGCTTGATTCCGACGCGAGGAACAGCCTGATGCAGCCTGCTAAAATCTCCCTTGTTGTTGACATGCTCAACGAGGGAACCGTGGATACCAAGATCAATTGCGCTCGATTGATTGAACTTTTGATGGAATATCGAAACTTTCGTTCAGAGATCCTCTCAAGCTTGAGTCTTTTGGTCGGATTGTTGAGACTCGTCAAGGATAAGAGACACTCAAATGGGGTCGCCGTTGGTCTCGGGCTCTTGAAGACAATCTGCAACCATAAACAGCAGGTTAGAGGTCTCATGGTGAGCATCGGTGCGGTTGCTCAGCTCGTGGAGCTTCTGCCTCATTTGAGTTCTGAATGTTTGGAATCGGCTCTTCAAATCCTGGATGAGCTTTCTTCTCTTCCTGAAGGCCGGGCATCATTAAAGGATTGTTCTCAGACAATTCCCAACTTAGTGAAACTTCTGATGAGGGTTTCTGAAGCATGTACTCAGTACGCCCTTTCTATACTTTGGTGTGTGTGCAAACTCGCACCAGATGAATGCGCCTCACTCGCCGTCGAGGCCGGTTTGGCGGCGAAGCTTCTGCTTGTTATTCAGAGCGGCTGCAGCCCTTCTTTGAAGCAGAGATCGGCTGAGCTTTTGAAGCTCTGTAGTTTGAATTATACTGCTACACTCTTCATCTCAAAATGCAAACTTACGAGGACAATTCAATGAGTGGCAGAGTGGTGTATATCTATTTTGGTTGCTGTTCATTTGAAGGTCATTTTGAATATGCAAAAGCAGCTGTAAATTATAAGGAGGTGAATAATAAATACTGCTGTGTTTTCCCTGCTTTCTTCTGAGGAAGAATTGATCTGTGTAGCCTGCTGAGAGGTGAAAAAAGCCAGCCTCCTCCTCAATAAGTTGATGAGGGTCAAGAGATTGGGTGCTGTTTTCCTCACAGGTTGGAAATGGTTCTCTCTTTTCATTACGATATGTCTATGTGCTTATTCCTTGGGATGATTCAGCATTTATGCTGGATTTTTGTATACAGTTTTTTGTTGTAATTGATTCCTCTGATAATTCTATAACTTTATTTTATATGAATCTTTTGTTATACTATGGATTGTTTTTTTTCCCTCTTTTACCTTAGATTGATCTCATGGCGTTGGATTCTCCTTGAAAAAATAAGACTTCATGATAGAGTGTATATCCGGATAAATATAAATTTACTGGAGTTAACTAAACTCAGTGCAGGCTGATGATATGAACTTGCTCCAATAGTGTACACGTTGAATTTGTCATTAAGTCCCAATCATTAGGCCTTCTAATGTATTTTATTATCCATGGAATTCCATATGTAGCTTGGTTTTATTAAGTCTCTGATCCAAATATATAAAAAGAGGGTCATTGGGAGAACCTGGATTACATTATTGTTTTTTTAACTTCAGTTATATAAAGCTCTACTTTTAATAAACATATCATGTCAGCCAGCATGAAGAACTGCCAAGAATTCGAGTTGTGATTTCAGAGGGTAAACTATTGGATCCTCTAAATTCTTATCTCTGTGACGGTGCATTGGACTTTTTTTTCTTATTCAAACTTTAATTTTACATATCACCATAATACTTTTAATCGACTATAAGTTGAGCATTGTCTTTTAAACTTTTTGTGATGTTAATTTCTTACAATCATTTTAAGTATGCTGATTTTAAGAAAGGTCTTTCTCTTCAAGGAAGAAAAGGGCTAACAACACCAACAATAATTTTCAAAAACTTCTATTGATTGTTTTCTGATGCATGCCGAAAATTTTTTGGCATGGAGATTATATTGTGTCTTAGCATTACAAGAGAATCCAACACATTCTTAGGTAATTAAAGTAACAAGTATAGACACTAAATTTTTATGTGAAAAACTCTAGAAAGTGGAAAACAGAGCTGCTGAAGGCAGAGGACTCTTGGCCCTATCACACAATAGCTAAAGAGTTTTTTTTCTTAAGTGAGCTTTGAAAAAAGATTAGACAATGAATCTAGGGCAGCAGATTACACTGCAAAACAAAAGAAAACGGAGAGAACACATACACACTCTTCTTCTGAGTTAGAAAAGTTGGAATTACAGAGTTGATGTACAACAGTATTTCAACAATTATGTTCATAACAGATCAAGAAAGCCGTAGTTGATTGCTATGGTGAAAGTAGTCCACTTTGAATGTATTATATGTTAGTTGTAGTGTCAGCTTGTCACAGATGTCATAGTTGAAAGTCATGATAGTGGTTAGTCATGTGGGTTGTAGATGATTGTTTTAGGAAAATTAGTTGGTCACAAAGTACTTTTATTGGGAGTTGTAGAAGTTGTGAGCCATGTAGGTTGTAATTGGCCAAATAGGTTGTACTGGTGAGCTACGATAACGGTTGTAACAGTTGTAGGCAGCAGAGGCGAAAGTTGGGAGTTGCATGAGATGTGGATCGTGTAGGTAGTAGATGCTCATATAGACCATAACGGAGAGCTTTAACAACGTTCTTAAGCATCAGATGCCGGAGTTAGGAGCAGCATGAGCTGTAATAATATCCATAAGCCACAGAGTTCGAAGTTGGAACCTGCATGAGTTGTAGAAAACGTTCTCAAGTGGCAGATGTCAGAGTTTGGAGCTGCATGAGTTGTGATAACATTCTTAGGCCTTAGAAGCTGAAGTTAGGAGTTGCATGAGCTGTGAATAATGTTTGTAGGTCGCAGAGGCCAAAAATGAGAGCTAATTGACTTGTGATAATATTCATTGGTTATGAAGTATGGAGTTGGGAGCCATAACAACTCTGATAAGGTTTGTGAGTCGCTTATTGTTGGTAGTTGCATAAGTTGTGAACCACATATATTATAGTTGGTCACGTAAGTCATAATAGTAGGTTGCAAAGAGAGAGCTTCAAGAGTCTGGATAAAATTACTGCATCATGAGTACGATGGTTCTGACAAGTTATTGTGGGGATACATTGTTATACTGTCTTCAATGTGTATTGTTGCATTGCTCCATTGGTTGCTTCTTTCCTTTGCAGCGTATGTCGGGATTCCATAATGCACATCGTGATTTTGTATGGGGCTTTGTTGCAACAAGCAAGGTGCAGCAGACGTTGGTCAATTGCAGTCTGTGGCTGCTGAAGTGAGTGGTATTTGCTGCACCTTTAATGTAAAACTTTGGACTTCAATTCCTTCTTCTCCAAGCTCTGAGCATCATAAGGCTCGAGATCTAGCTCTAGGCCCCCTTTCATGAATGAGGTACGGTTCTATTTATAGAGTATATGAGAGTCCTCCTGACAAATAATAAAAGAATCTAGAGCACCCTATCGGATGACTCGTAGAGATCGCCTTGATTAGAAGGTATTTTAGAGACATTTGAGTATCTTAACGATGTCAGAATTGAGTAATCTTTGTTCGTTGAATTCATTTTGTGAGATACTTGATTTGACTACAAACTTATTAGATTTTGAATTTATTTGACATTCTAATTGGACATCTGGAGCTTCCTAAAAATGGCATAATCATTTGATCAAGGCTTGATTAAACTTATATTAGACTAATTTTGATGTCATTATGTCTGTCTCGTCTAGGCGGTTAGTTTGACTGTAAGTTTGTTAAACTTAGATTCTAAATATTTTTAATTGAAGTTTAAATATTACTTGCTTTGAGATTTGTGTCGTGTCTCGATATCCGTGTCAAATGATGAGAATTTATTGATAGCATATCAGTTTTCTGCTATTTTTGGAAGAGGCTAATTTCGTCATCCAAGAATACTCAAAATTGGAATATTTTATTTTTCTTACTCTTATATATATTGGAGGTAAGGTTAGGTGCGCAGAGTGGGTCGGCAGACTGGGTCAGCGATCGAGCTTGCGGCCTAAAGCTGGGCCAGGGAGCAGACCTCAGGTGTGGGCCAAAGAGGGTCATATTGATCCGTGCAAGACGATGAATCGGCGGTGGGTTCTACACCGGCGATCTACGGAAGCTGTTGTGTGTGAAGGCGAGAAAACTCCGTGTGGGGAGCCTGTTGCGCAAGGTTGATCTAATGGAGGGATGCAACCACAGCAGGGGTTCAAGATCAGTCTAGATGGCGTGACCACTTTGGCACAACTTGACCAAGCGCATAGGGAGGGCACAATTCTGGCGGAACTTGCCGTAAAAACTGAGTTTTGATGCGAATTGTGAATTCTGCCCGTTTGATAGAGAGAAATCGGACGACCGGTGTAGGTTGCCGCTGAAAAACTCGGATATCGATCAGTTTTAGATAGTTTTTTTTCTGGATCTTTTAATCATTTTGAGCCTGTAAATATGCTAAGATGAGGAAAAAGATAGAGTTCCTCAACTTGTTTATGCGATTAATAGAGCTCTCCCAACACAGAATTTTCACGACCTATTTGTGGCATCAACGATGAACAAAGCTTTCCTTTGGCGTTGTTGTGGTCCGTCGGATAGTCTCCCAACATATTTGTGCAATCTACAGAGCTCCCCGACATACTAATTGGAGACTCTCAGCCTGCTTGTGCGATCGATGGAGTTTCATCTGTATGCTAGTTGAAAAGTCTCTCTTCCTATTATTGTGTGATCAACATAGCTCTTTTTCACATTGTTGACATCAATTTTTGGATGTCATAAGTATAGGGTGTCCACCTGTGATCGGCAAAAAGTTTTATTTGTCGCGCCGCGCACGAATTTAACTCGAATTGACCTGAGCACCAGCGAGCTTGTTCAGATGGCCCCGAACGACGAAACAGACCACACGAGTGAGTTCAGAACGTCGATTCCATTTGGAAAAGACGCTCGTTGAAAAGACGCTCGCCATTTGGAAAAGACGCTCGTTGCACCACGATTTCGCATGCAAGCTTAAAATATGTGAATTATCATTGTTGACTCGATAGTTGAAAAGATGGTCCGAAAAAAATCTAGAATAACGAAACAGACTGCGCGGTCGCGTCTGGGACGTCGATTTTGCTTAGGGGAGACCCTCGTTGTATTGCGAGGACGTGTTCGACAAAATTGCGCGGAGAGCTTGTAAGGATAATAACATTATTAATATTATTATAATATAAATAATAATAATAATAATAATAATAATAAAAGCCCATCTCCTCTCCCATATAATATATATATATATATATATATACAAAAAAGCCCTCATCTCCTGTTAAAACAAAAGAAACTTACGCTCCTCCCTCGTTCCCCAATCGCACGCGCCCAGCCGACATCTCCCGATCCATCGCGACCTCTCCGAATCGCGCCTTCTTCTTCTTCTTCTTCTTCTTCTTCTTCATTTTTTTTTCGCGAAATGGGAAAAGATAAGAGGCGGCGATGCCGCATTTCCAATGGTCTAAACCTTAGGTTTCCTAGGTGAGGTCGTTAGTACGAGTGTGACTCGCTATAATGTGTGGTCATTTGCACCTCATTGTTTGCATAAGTGTGTCTTGCATTGTTACATATTGTGTGTCATATATCACACCTGCACCTGCACTTGCACCTTGCACCTTGCACCTTGCACCTTGCACCTTGCACCTTGCACCTTGCACCTTGCACCTTGCACCTTGCACCTTGCACCTTGCACCTTGCACCTTGCACCTTGCACCTTGCACCTTGCACCTGCACGTTGCACTTGCACTTGCATCTTATATCTTGCACTTGCACCTGCATCGACACCACTTGTGCCTCGATCGGTTATCCCAAACCAGTCACATCACTTGTGTTTCAGCCGGCTGCCCCAATCCGGTAGACACAATACTTTGGTTTGACCAGATGCTCCATTTGGATCGACCTACCACTTGCTCTTTTGCATGTTGTGGATGTGCATGTACATGCTTGTCTGCATGATTGATATCATCTCCTTGAGTCTCATTCCTTCGGATCACTGCCTTACCGGTATACCATCTTTTCGGGCCCTGCCGCTACGGCATGCCTACCTTCGGGTCACTGCCTTACCGGTATGCCCTTTTTCGGGCCCATGCCGCTACGACATGCCTACCTTCGGGTCACTGCCTTGCCGGTATACCCTCTTTTCGGGTCTTTACTGTCATAGCATATCCATCTTTGGGTCACTACCTTACCGGTATACCCCTTTTTC